GCGCTTCCTGTCAAATTATACTTCTTTGTTGAAAATTTCAATTCACTCTTCATAATTCTTTTTTTTTATCAGCTAAAGAAAATTTAATTTAATGAAGCACAAGGGGTGCTCCTGCCCATATACAAAAAATGGAAACCACAATAGAGGAGATCCAATCTCCTGAAAACCAGCAACTGATACAGCATACTAATCACAAACAAAAATCCACAGAAGCCCACATACTACATTTATGAAACAAAACAGACCCGCCTAGCCATCATCTCCGCGGCATGCAAGCTTTAAAGAACTGCTTCCGCAACCTTTTATGGTTTTTGACAGCCATAGCACACTCCATTGGGTAAGTCTGCCATTCGTAAAACGAGAAACCACAGCCATTGACTTTGGCTTTAATCCATATAAATGTTTTAACTTGCATTCTTTCCATCAAGTTCTCTGGCAAACCCTCATCTTTTCTAAACACTAGAACATTCCGACTATACCATAGATACCAGGCGACCACTAGGAAAATACATGAACCCATCTCTTTTCCAACTAATCTGCCCAAACTTCCAATGAAAAAATCTGCCATTCCCCTAACTGTATTAGGAAAAACAGCCTCCAAGCCCCACCACCTCAACACCTGAGTCCACGCTAACCATGCATTATAACACAAACAGAATAAATGGTTTACTTCCTCCACCTTCCCCTTACAGAAATCGCAGAGAAACCCCTCCTGTAACACTATCCCACGTTTTTGCAAGTTATCCTTAGTTGGTAGTCTATCTAAGCATAACCGCCACCCAAAAAAAGCCACTTTGGATGGCACCAATCTACACCATATTAGTTTACACATCTGGTACTCCAAGACACCCTCCGAAGTAGCTAGAAAATCATACGCTATCTTCACCCCATATTTGCCATCCATCGCATGAATCCACTTCCAAACATCCCCTGCTCCCTCCTTTAGTTTGACACCCTCCAGCATCTTCTCCAACCGTACCTCCTCATCTTTCTCTCTCCCTATTGTCCCCCTCCTCCACTCCATCCTCCACCACCATCTACCCTCTTCCCAACTCCCCATCTCAAAGACCTTTCCATCCTTCTTCACAGAAAGAGCAAATAACCTAGGGAACAAATCCCTAAGACTTTTATCACCAATCCACTTTTCAGACCAAAAACCCACTCTATTTCCTTCACCCACCTCCCACTTGAAACCCTCAGCCAATATATTCCTAAGTTTGGGAGATCGACCCCCAATCCGAATAATGTCCCTCCAAATCTTAGACACCTTTAAACACTCAATCGTAGTAATATCGACCTCCCTCTTACCCCCATAATATTTCTCCCTCACCACCCTTTTCCATAAACTCTCGACCCCGTCGCCAAACCTATACCACCATTTTCCTAACATAGCCCAATTTTTATTCTGTAAGTCAAGCACCCCGAGCCCCCCCTTCGCCTTAGCTCGACATACGTATTCCCATTTAACCCATGGAATTTTCTTATTTAGATCTGCCCCTCCCCATAAGAACCTCCTTTGAATTCTAATCAACTCCTCAATCACAGCATTAGGTAATAAATATAAAGACATATAAAAAATAGGAAGAGCAGAGAGTACCGAATTTAGCAAGACGAGGCGGCCTCCAAAGGAAAGAGTAGTAGCCTTCTAGACAGCAAGTTTGGTACAGAATTTGTTTACAACCAGCTCCCAATATATCTTATTCCCAGATTTACCGTCAACGGGCAACCCCAGATAAAGAAACGGTGCTCTACCAACCCTGCAATGTATTCTACCCGCTGCTCCTTTCAGCCATTTCTCCGACACATTATAACCAAAAATGCTACTTTTGCTGAAATTGATTCTCAAGCCCGACATAAGCTCAAACCATTTTAGGATGTCCTT